AAATCCTGTTATAACAAGCACCTAGTATCTCTATATTGTACAGAAGCTTTCCAAATCTGACTAGGACAATGGCTCATAAATATCAAATATTTTTCAACATCAATTGTCAGTGAAACAAGAGAATTAAACCCCTTAAGTTATTTATGCATTGGTTAAATCCATATAGCAGAAGATGGGGGGATGCTGGGAATGTTCTGATTTGCTCAAATGTGTGAGGATTGAAGCAACATAAATGAGTAATGGCTACTAGCAAGGTGGCCTGCTGGTCAGCTAGCCAATTGCCACATGTGAGTTCCATCTGGCACATGCAGCTGTAACGGTATTTGCGTAAGGAAAATTTCTGCTTGTTTACTTTGTTTTTAATTTTCACTGTGAAGTAACAGTTTTGTAAAATGCAATAAATAAAGTACTAATAAGTAAAAATGATAAAAATACAAGTAATGAACCCCCCAAATGTTTAATGCTTGTGTCATTAGAAAAATTGTGGCAAATGTAGAGCAAACACACTATAAGGAAAAAGAAGAAGAAATTAAACACCAAAATAAACCTTGTTTTATTAAATTGTGCATATAGGTCATTAACAGAGAAATTTTCTGTTATACATAGTTTTTCGTCATTGTACAACCATAATTAATCAGAAGTTATAAATAAAATACTGATCTCATCATATGAAACTCATACATATGTATCATTTGAATGAACACTATGTATATTAATATTTGAAGGGACAAATGAACTTGCTTCCTGCTTTTAACCTAAATATTCTAGCCTTCATCAACAGCATAGTTATTTCTGTGATAATGTTAATAAACTCTTTTCTTTTGGGTTTTGTTTTAAAAACATTGAATCTAGAGAATTTAGTCTCACGGAGGTATAATGATGACAGTTAAGAAAAATCTTGAAAGTGATATTTAATTTTTATATAATCTAAAGCAAGTGATTCTGTATTTTAAAGTTTTAGTTTTACTTCTATATCAGCAGTCATTCCCAGTAATTTATTCTATGAAGTTTGGGTTAAATTGAAATATCTTTGATGAACACAACTAGATTTTGGTTTTCATACACTTGTTAGCTATAGTCAACAAGTTTACCTGAAAATACCATGCATGAGCTGCTATTATGTATAACAACTACAGACTTTGTGCTATAAGCATCTTGCAAGGAAAGAGCAGCAACACCTGATCCCATCTATATTTGTTCAAGGAATGTGTCTGTTGATCGTATGTTGGATGTCCTGGTGATATCAACTCACTCTGAGTTTCCAAACTCTTACTCTTACAGCTCGTGTTTACATTTTCAGCAGACCACTTCCAGCCCCTTGTCCACACTAGAAGCACTGATCTAGAGAGAGTGAAGTGGTCTGACCAGTACCCACACTTCACTGAAGTGCAGAGGAGGCAGGCTGTTACTTAAAGCACCATGGCCTTTATTTTCTGCATCCACTGTCTCGTTTCCATGAAAAGCATATCCCCACTTTTTCTTCCTTCAGCTTTGCCTTAGCTGTATCTTAAGCCATTTGAACTGTTTATTTTATTTATACTAGTGTCTTAAAATGTAAACATCGAATGAGAGACCACACACTTCAGGACACTTGAGCTAATGACATTTATAAAACAATAGGTGGCAGCAGACAGGGGAGGCGTGATTTGGACCAGCCATTCTCTGTAATTGGGTAAAGCCATCTTGGCTTTGACAGCTGCTGCCAGGAAAAGACAAGTCTGGTTACAGTCGTCCTAGAGAAAATGTAGTTTCCTAGATGTGAAATGAGCACACTGCTTTTTCAGTGTTGTTTCTTTCTCTTGGTCTATTTTTCTCTCTTCAATTAATTTTATCCATCCAAATGCTCTAGGAAGGATCTGAGACCACCTCTTACAGAATGTGAGGCCTTCATGTTATGTCGCTTTCAATATGAGCTGGGTAATTGAATTGTTTGGGAGCTCCACAAAGCTGGCTGTGCAAAACAGTTCTGCTCTTCTATTTCTTTGTCTTGCAAGAAACGGAAAAGCACTGCCCATGTCACCACAGGGCTTATAATACCCTATGGCATGACTTACTCTTGTTAGCAGTCACTCTGAGCTCCTTGAGTAGCTTAACTCAAGACAGAAGGATGTACAATTCTCGGGGTTTGTTGTAATTTATAGTTCATCATATTTTCAGCTATTTGAAATCAGTGTTCAGCAACTGCAGTGCTAAAGTACAAATGTTGAGAGTCCTGGCGAATGGAAAGTGCCAGGTTGTTATGCACGACATCAGACACAAAGCCAAAAACTGTACCCTGGCAAGAATTTGGTGTCCCCATGACCTCAGCCTGACCTACATGGAGTTATCCTTTGGAATCTTCTCCCTGATTAATATTTGTTTTATTCGGACTGGATTGGGCTATTCAGAAGATGATGCTATTGATCCTAATTAACCTTGGCTGCAGCAATTAAGCTTATTGAAAAAGAGGTAGGCAAGATATACACTCTCTCATAATAATCCCTTCAGGATTCCTCATATCTTGTATAAACTCTAAGAGTCCAACCCTTTTGTCCTCATTTTTGTGTTGCAAGGGTGTTATCATGGCATTTAAAAGTAACTCTTTTTATTTGGTAGAATATATGTTGCTTAAGCCAGCAAATTTCAAGGCTCATGATGACCCAAGGTATTTTATTTCTTTTGTCTCGAGATTAAAATTGTACTGGAAGTAGATATTTACATTTATTTCCATGAAAACAATCCTGGATAAATTACTGCCTGTCTGCGAAGTGCAGGTGGAGCTCCTGGCTTCGGAAGGTTCTTAGAATGTTTCTCTGGATGCGAAGAAAATCGTAATTATTTCACATGTTACTGTCTCACATGGGGGGCATGCCAGTGAAAATATTAGTTACAAAAGTATTATAATTTGATGTTTCTATATTTATTGTGTATATAAGTTTACTCATCGCAGGACTACTTAATGAGTCTATCAAATAAGTACTAATCTCTGCATGTTGTCTAAACTAGTTTCAATCATAACAAGTTTATTTCATGAAAAGCTATCAATGTCAGACACTTGAATAGGCAAGCATGAAGCTGCTCAATTATGAAAGTGCATAATGTTTTTGGGTGAAGCATTCAAAGAACAGGTTTTGATCTTACATGTATCATCAAACCTACTAAATCAATGTCTATATAAAGCTCTCTATTTATCTAGAATTTTCCATTTCTAAAATATCGAGAAACATAGAACATCAAGATATTTCCCTAAAAGATGAAAAAAAGTGATAAAATGAAGATTGCTTTTCATCAGAATAGGTCAGAGGAAGCAAAAGGGAAAATTTATTAATGTCCAACATTAAATCAACATCCTCAGCATTTACAGTTTCAGACTCCATTTAGAAGTTTTTACCCCTACGGCTCTTTAACTTTCACCACCCTGCCCCATTAACTATTATTCTGAACAGCCTTAATGGGAGAAAAATGTATTACAGATTTTTTTATCTTTCCCCTCAAAACAATGAAGTCCAAAAGGTACTGTGGCCTGGGTAGCTTCCAGGTGTAGAAAGATTAAAAAACCATGATAAAGTGGAGTAGTATGGGGTAAAGGGAAGTTCCTGAGGAAAGCGAACCAGTAAACCAAGGACACCAGACATTAACTCCCCCATGCAATAGGACAAGTAGAATTAACAAGCAGTTATAAAGAAATTCCATCCGCTCATTAGTTTACATGTATTATTATTCATTCCACCAAGTGGCCCATTATTAAGCCAATCGATAAATGGGTGATTCCCTACTCGACCAGAAGTAAAAAACACTGGTCAAAATAAAACGCACAGGTTTTATTTTTCAAGTAACTTAATTAGAGACAAAAGATATTCAAGATGGATGACGCCTTTGTGAATATTAATTCAATCAATGCTATTATGCAGATAGAGATGTTATAAACATATGATGGCTAAATGTGTAAGTGACAACAGAGGCAGGTAACAATCACCAATCTATGACTCTTCTAGTCCTTTCACTCTGCACTTAGCTTCTCTTTAAATCTTGGCAACCTGAAAAAATTAAACCACTAACTCATGGGCTTTCCTCTTAATGACTGCTGCTGCCTCTCAACCATGACTTAGAAGATAGTGAAGGAGAAAAGGAAAAAGACATTAAGCATTTATGGCATGAAGATATTGTATGAGCCATTCTCTTTTTTATACATTATATCATAAAGTAATTACATTACCCTGTCAGGTTTGTATATTCCACTTTTGTTGATTAGTGGAGAAAATGAGACTCTGTAAAATTAAAATACATTGCCCAAGATTATAAGGGTAGTAAATATTGCAACTGGGACTCAATTGAAGGTCTGTCTGACTCAAAATGAAATAGCTCTCCACTGAAAAAAAGGAAGCTAATACTTGGGCCAGGCTTTTACATTGATCTGGAATCTGAAAAATTACTCCATAGTACTTCCAAAGACAAATGTCCTCAGTTATAAGGCAGAGCTAGCATGTCATGCAAGCTGACTTCAAACTATAGCCCCAGTTCACAGGACCAGTAATGGCTAAATGTGTGTGTCTCAGGTTGAAGGGAAGGTAGGAATTATTTTGTCAGAATTTCCAACCCAAGATATATTAAACATTATACATCTAAATTTCTTTTCCATGTATTTGTCTAAACTGAATCTACCATAACTACATATCAATAGGAGAACCTTGGTATTTCTTGTCACTTGCACATCATTAATACCCTTATTAGATTAAATTATTGTCATCATGTGTTTAAAAGAGCAAAAAAAAACATTATGGCAGTTGCACAATTGAAAAATCATCTGTGTTTCCTCTCATTGTCTCTAACTGGGGTTAGGACAGACCTCAGAGGAAATACACTGGGATCAACATCTTTGCTCAACCAGAGTTCAGTTACTGTACTCTGGTTGAGCTATTAACAAAATAGCTCAGGTAGTTAGTTATTAACAAAAAAAGAGAGACGAGGGGAATTAGACTTTGATTTTAACAAACTGGAGAACAGTATTTGCTTCACCAGGAAGCTACAGCTTCATACCCCAGGGGATCACAGCATTGTTCTGCCAAGGAGATTAACACTCCCTTCTTCGCCTCTGGGGTTACTGGATTACTGGGAGTGCGGGGAGAGGAGCTTGACCTTAGTGGTCTCTCAGTCTAACTAGGGAGGGTGGACCTATCAAAAGCTCAAAAAAGCTTCGGAAGTGGAGAAGGTATTTCAGGGGAAAAGGGGAAGGGTTTACAAAAACAACTATAGAGGACACAAGGACAAAAACTAAGCGGGGTGGAAATGGGAGGGAGGTGGGGAGCACTGGGCAGAGGTGGACTGCGAGGGAGTAAAAAACAGAAAACTGTACTTGAACAACACTGAAAATAATTTTTTTTTCAAAAAAAAAGCTTAGGAATTTGATCGTTCAGTTTAAAAATGCACTCGGTCCATTCCACACCCAAATTAATATAATCCCAGGTAAACAAAGAATCTCTCTCTCTCTTTCTCAACCCACTCGCCCCATCCTTTCATAGGCCCTCTCCTCCAAGAGCAAGTGACCTTGCAGGGCCAGCAGCTACAGGGGCTGGCAGCAGATTGCGTGGGCTCAGAAGAACTAAGCTTTAATAAGAAGCAGACACTGGCTTTTGTTTTGGCCTTGCTGAGGACATAGGTGGACTTTTTCCATGGCAGACAAAAGAAGATGGGACATTAGAAACCCAGAAGGTAACTTCCATTTTTTTTATTTCCACCTGAATAAATCATCTTGCCACACTACAAACTCCCATGCTTGGGTCCTTGGAAGGGTTTCCTCACAGTCCTTGGAAGAGCCTGATTTCCACTGACAACAGTTTGATTCTCTTTAGAAAGTAATATTTAAGTCTTGAAAGTTATTTAGTGATTTCAAGATGCCAAGAGTTAACTATGTGAAAATTACATTTCCAGAGCATAGTAATATCTTCCATGTGGGTTGAATTGTTGACATTGTATGTGAATTGGGTGCAATTATTTTCACAGTACATTGCAGAAAAAAATAAGTTGAATAAAATTGTTATGAATAATTGGTTATAATTTCCCAGTTTTCCCACAAGGTTAAAAATGCCTAGATTATTAGTATTGTTTTTATAATTTGCAATAAGATATTTCATTCAGCAAATCTGAAGACAAAGAAAGATACAATTAAAGACTAAAATTGTGTGGAAAATGGGAAAAGTGAAAAATAAGGAAATCAATTCTTGTGCTTAGCAAATACAGTGGAAGATCAAGAAAAAAGAAGCTTACTTTATTTATAAAATCACAAACTATTGATTGTCTTATGGAGATGTGTGTTGAAAGTATAAACAGGTTCAAGAAAGATTGAAATAAATATGTGTTTTATAAAAAATACTATTTTAAAAGGAAAAAATGAGTTTCAGAGTTTTAGTCTTAAATTTTGACACAAATATGTATTTTGCCAAATTGTGACCTTGATGTTTCCATCAAAAGCAAAACTCAGCAGTAAATGAAAAATTAATCTGGTATTGGATAGTATTATTGATGCATCTATTAAAATACATTGTACATTAGAATGATAGAGGTAAGCCGTGCTTAAAGCAAACTCCAAAATATAATTAAATTATATGGTATATGTTTAAAGTATTGCCTCACATTTGTTGTCATAGTTTTTGTCCTCACAGAAAGATTTCTGTTTTAATGGCATCTGCAGTAACAGACATGGCCTCTAAAACTGCTCTCTCAGCTTGCAAATCTTTATTTTTATTATTTATTTTAATATTGTCACCACATTCAGTCCACAATGTTGGTGGAGATATGCAATTTGTGTCACAAATGACTCGTAAATATTGGGAATGTCTGTTTCAGGAGAATGTCATTAAAATAGAAGAATAACCTACTTTATGGAAAATGTTCTAATTTTTTATATTACCACTAGAAACTGTAAAGACAATATTAATTTTATAAGCATATTGTAAAACTACAGGACTGAAGTCACAATGTGTTGGCTTTGCATTTTAAAGAGCATCTTAAAATTAAGCTGGAAAGAGACATGTTCTGTAGATGAGTAATTTTTTTTTTGCAAACACAGGCAAAAATCTATTGCATGTCCCTCGGTAGAATAGCAATGACACTGAAAACCAAGGCCAACTAATCATTAGGAGTCCAAGTCTGTATTTATACTTGTGAGTCAGATTTATTTTGCACTATTTTGTGGGTTTGTTAATTTGTATTGAGGGGGAGGTGGGAGTCATTTACTTTAGTGAAGAAATAGGTAAAAACAGGAGCAGAAAAAAAATTTAAAACACCGTGCTTCAAAATTACCGGCAATTACAATAATCACAGGACATTCTAAGTTTTCCATTACTTTCTCCAGTTTATTTCAATTCAAATCAGCAAACTTATAATAATTAATTAGTGAAATCTGGAATTAGGAATGAAATTGCTGTGCCATTTCAGTCAAAATAAATGATTCTCCCAAGAAATAAAAAATTTAAAAAGAAAACAAAAGTCTTCCTTAGAACGTTCACACTATGCCAATGTTTATGCTTTATTTATTGTGGTAGGAACTGATTATGATAAATTTACCATCTTAACAGTTTTAAGTGTATAGTAAAGTGATGTTGGCTATTGTTGTAGCCAACAGATCTCTAGAACTTTTCATCTTACAAAATTTTCCCAGTTATTTTTTTGCTTGATTTCTACTTTCATTCCACTGTGATAAAAAAACAGACTTGGTATCATTTTAATCTTCATAGATTTGTTAAGAATTGGTCTGTGGTCTCACATGTGGTCTGTCCTCTGCACTTGAGAAAAACATCATTATGCTCCTGTTGAGTGGGGTGTTGTATAAATATATTTGAGGTGCAGTTGGGCATGCTATTGTTCAAGTTCTCTGGTACCTTATTGATCACAGTTTAAATGTTTGCTTCCACCCAAATTCATGTGTTAAAACCTAATGCCCAATGTAGTATTTGGAATTGAGTTCCAAATCAAATTCGCCAAAACCCAACCATGCTGGTACCTTGATCTTGGACGTCCAGGCTTGAAAATTATGAGAAATAAATTTCTCCCTTTTACAAACTGTCCAGTCTATAGTATTTTGTCACAGGAGCTGAAATGGACTAAGACTGGAATTTTGTATTAAGTAGGAGTGCTGATATAAGAAATACCTAAAAATGTATTCTTCTATGACTGTATGATCATATTAATAGACGCAGAAAAAAACATTTGATAAAATACCTTCTTTCATGATAAAAACTCTCAATATATTGAGTATAGAACTAACATACCCCAACATAACCAAGACCATAAATGACAAGCCTGCAGGTAACACTGTCCTAAAACAACATAATGTTAAAGCCTTCGTCCTAAGATCAAGATCAGGAAAAGCATGACTTCTTTTGCTACTACTATTTATTATCCTAAATGAACAATTAGACAAGAAAAAAATAAAAAGCATTCAAATTGGAAAGAAAGTAGCATATAATCTTTTTTCAGATAATATGATCTTATACATAGAAAACCCTAAAGACTGAACCAAAAACTATTAGAGCTAATAAACAAATAAAGTTGCAAGATAAAAATCAACTTACAAAAATCAAGTGCACTTCTATACACTAATTATGAAATATCTGAAAATGAATAAAGTAAAATTTATGATGGCATCAAAAATAAGTTTAACCAAAGAGGTAAAATTGGAAAGATCTGGTCTTTACCTTTACACTGAAAACTGTAAGGGTAAAGTTAGATTCATTCGCTCCTCATAAGAGGTATTAGCCTCTCATAGCCAGAAAGCACAATGTAGAATCAACCTTCAAAATCTAGAAATCTCATGAATTATTATTTATTTTCATTTTCTATGGATTGTCTCCTTACAAACTCATGCCAATTTCTTCCCTGTTAATATGGAATGGTCATTTAAATTTAAAATGATCCAATTCAGCAATCCTCTTCTGCCTTCTTAATTTTTAAATCATTTCTATTAAAAGTATGAAGTGATTTACATAAGATAAAATTCACTATTTTTCTGCACAGTTTGTTGAATTGTAACAAATGTTGAGAGCTGTGTAACAACATTATAGCTGTATAATAATTTAGAACAGTTACATTACTTCAGTTCCCCCAGGCCCTTTACAATCAATCTTCTCTAACCATTTTCTGCCCTGGGCGATCTCTGACTGCTTTAGTCAGAGATTGTTTTCCTTTTCGGTTTTTTTTTTCTTTTTTCTTATTTTTAATTATTTTATTGTTGTTCAATTACAGTTGTCCATATTTTCTCCCCACCGCTCGCCCACCATCCCCTTCAAACCCACCTCTCTCCCTTGCTTCCACCCTCCCCTTTGGTTTTGTCCACTTGTCCTTTATAGAAGTTCCTGAAAACCCTTCTCCCAACTGTCCCCTCCCCCCTCCCCTCTGGCTATTGTTAGATTGTTCTTAATTTCAATGACTCCGGTTACATTTTGTTTGCTTTTTTCTTTTGCTGATTATGTTCCAGTTAAAGGTGAGATCATATGGTATTTGTCCCTGACTTAGCTCACTCAGCATAATGCTTTCCAGTTCCATCCATGCTGTCGCAAAGGGTATAAGCTCCTTCTTTCTCTCTGCTGTGTAGAATTCTCTATAGTTTTTCATTCAGAGAATTTCATTAAATTAAATTTCCAGCATACTGAATTATGTCTCTTGTACCTGGCCCCTTCCATTTTGCGTAGTTGCTGTGTATCACTACTTGGTTTCCATTTATTGTGGTGTAACAAGCCATCCAATGTATTACAATGTGTTTATCCATTCTCTGGCTTGGTTCTGTTTTCTGGCTGTTGCAAATACAGCTGTGATAAACATATGTGTGGACACATATTGTCATGCCTCTTGGCTATACATCTAGAGGCAGAATTGTTAGACCATATGTTGTCTAATTTTATAAGAAAATATAAAACTATTTTTCAAAGTGGTGGTACCATTTTGCATTCTCATTCACAATTTATGAGAATTCTATTTGGACCATGTCTTTACCAATATTCACTTTTCTCAGTTGTAATTTTAGCCATCCTGGTAGTTGTGTAGTTGTATATCATTGGGCTTTTAATTTGCAACTTCCTAATGATTAATGATGTTGGATATTTTTCTGTACACTTACTTTCCATTTGCCTCTCTCCTTTGGTCAAGTGTTCAAATTTTTTGCCCGTTTTTTGACTGAGGTGTGTTGATATAATACAAGTAACTAGAGAGCTTATTCAGAATGTATTTATTAGAATTTATATGAGCTCATTTATATGTGTATGTAGGTATGTATTTGTGTACAGTCATATGTGATTTTATGAGAGATGTAGATTTGTGGAACCACCACCACCACAATCAAGATACAGAATTGTTTTATCACCAAAATAAACTCTTTTATACTACACCTCCTTGTTACTACTTCCACAAGCCTGGTAATACATAATGGCTTTTGAAGAGTAAAGGGTTTTAATTTATCAGTTATTTTATAATCTGTGTCTCTTTTAGTTTGAGAACCTTGGCCTAACCCAGAGTTACTACAACTCTCTTCTGGGTTTTCTTCAGGAAGTTTTTCCTTATCACACTTATTCTTAATCCATTTCAAGTTAAATTTTTCCTCCAGAGGTCTGGCACATAATTTTTAAGTTTATCTTGAAGTATTTCATAATCTTTACACTATTACAAGTTGTATTTTTTTAACTTTAAAGTTCACATGGGGTGAGAAATTGTTCTGCAGC